TATATATATATATATATATATAGACCCAGTGAATGTGTCTCTTCCTAGCTTTCGTCCTTTATATGTGAACTCGCCTACCCCTTTTGACTCCGCACGTAAAATGCAATCGCGTTGCTGCAGCACAAAAGCAAAATTATTATTATTATTATTATTGTTGTTGTAATAGTAATAATAACGGTGGGAAGAAGGTTCACTTGCGGCTCCACGCAGAGCAGAGGCGGCATACACGGCAGGTCTGGCACGCCGAGGGGAGGAACAACGAAGAGGTTCGTACAAAAAAAAAATATATCCGTCCAAAATACTTGCGACTCTAAGGCAGCACAACTCGAAGGGAGCGCGGGATGCTCAGTCCTCAGCAGCTGAGAGCCGCAGGGCCAACATCCGCTTCGGCGCCACTTCAAAAAAAGAGTTTAAAAAACCCACAAGGGTGACTACATAGAATAGAAGCAATGGGAGAGGGGGAGGGGGATTACAAAAAAAAAATACAAAATAAGGAGCCTGCAGAAAGGCCAAACGTAAAAACAAAAAAAAAGCAAACGGGCCAAGGCGCGGAAATTCATCTTCCTTATTTCTGCACCGCTTCCTCCTCCCTCGAAGCTAAGAGGATGTGAGAAGGGCACCGGCCGCACCCAAAAATGCACAAAAAGAGGGGGAAAAAACATACAGAGGGGCACATTTGTGCACCAACGACCACCGCACTCCGGGAATGCATTCTTCCCCGGCAGTAGTTACCCAAACATATGAAAAATTGTGGGACACGTGAGGGGGTAGAAGTCCCAAAGAAGCACCGGCAACACGAAAACAAAAATAAAAGTCATCTTCACGTACTTCCCTGTCAAGCATGCCCCATTCGTCCCTCGTCCTTTACCTCTTCCCAAACTAAATCTACTGCATTCAGCGAAGTAATTGCGCACGATGCATGTGCACAGAGGCAACCGACAGGGGCACCGGAAAAAAAGCGCGTCTCATAAAATGTAGTTAAACCATATAGTATTTTTCCCTCTACCAACTTAAACTTAAAAAAAAACACCTGTTTATAAACATCACGTTTTCCCTACTCTCACTTTCATCAGACCTCCAGAGCACTCTCTTCTCCTTAGCCCTCTCCACCACCATGAACGCGCAAGAAACCCATTACAAAATAGAAAACGCAGACTATGATAGTCATTGTTTTTTTTTTGAGGATGTCGCCCACATTTGCTTTGTAGTTAGGGCAGAAAGAAAATGCGAGAACCGCTGGCAGATGAGTGCCTGCGCTTCGAAGGAGACATTTTCCATAAGCATTCTAGGCATTAAATAAAAAAAACACATACACAGGAAAAAAAAAACAATCATAGAAAGAGTAGTGAACGCAAAATAAGTCAAACAAAAGCATACAAAAAAACAACAACAAGTTCATATAACGTCTAGGCGGAAGAGAAATATTATGTTACTACAGTTTTATCGGCGGGTTGTATTGAAGGGAGTTTGCTCCCAGCTCGGCCCTCCATTCCTTTCCCGCGCCGTTGCGTGCGTGTAAGTAAAGGGTGTGTGTACATTCCATCCTCTGGAGAAAAAAAACTTAAACATAATGCTCACATCCCCCTTTTCTTCTTATTTTTCCCCTTTTTCCCCTTTTGCTTGCATTTCCCTTCCCTTCCTCGCATCGTCTACGGCGCGGTGCAATTACCTTGGGTTTCGTTCGCTCGCTCGGAGTGAATGAGACTTGTGCCAGATGGCGCTGCGTGGGAAAAAGCAGTGCACCGCCTCCTTGGAAACCGTGGCCCTCACAACCGTCCGCTTTGCTGCGCCTTCCCAGATGATGGAATCGCCTTTTTGGCAGTAATCCCCGCTGCACTTTTGCCGAAGGTCCTCAAAGGGGCTAACGGTGCCTTTTTGCCAATGCGCCCGCGTCCAGCGAGGTGTTTCGCATGGTCTTCGTGCGAGGGCCAGCTAAGCGGTAGGTTGAAGTCGCCCAGTTCGGCAAGCCTTGCCTTAGTGTCACTGATAGGGATTGAACCACTAGTAAACGCTTTTGGTTGTCCAGGTGTTTGTAGCCTTGGGCTACCTGTGAGCCCTTTTAAAGGAACTTTCGCCAGGTCCACATCGTTGGATGCCTCAGTATTCAATGGGGGAAGTGCCCCACCACGGAAGCCGCTCAAACTCACATTGTGTGGAAGTGGTTGTGGTGGTGCAGGCGGTGCCGCATCACACATAGGCATGAGAGAGGGAACAAGAACACGTGGTGAAGTGCGCGGCATTGCACAACCCTGCATGTTTCCAGGGCGTCTGGCTTGTGAAGAGTAGCCAATCCCAGTTTCAACATCAGGAGAGGCCGCAAAGTTTTTGTGGTGTAAATTTGCACCAACATTCTTCGGAGGACTGATTGTTTGCGTTTTCTCCATTACGCCGCTTGAAACCTCTTCCCCTTTCAAGTTATAGCCACTGCCATAACCAGCAGCGGCAACTCCGCGCACGCCTGCGGAGTGGACGGGCCTCACACCCTCAGCCCTGCTATGCGGCGGGGAAAGGGCCGAATATAGCAGCGGCGCAAATTCACTGCCAGGCCGCACACCACGAAGCAGCAATTCCTCCTCCCGCGTAAGGTTTGACACCCGTGTTCTTGCCCCTGCGGTAACTCTCTCTAACGCCTCTTGCTGCACGAACATCAGTGAGTCACGCTGGTGAAACAACTTTCACCGTCTTCGACTGCTAGGCAAGGCCCACGGCAAAAACAGTGGGGCAAAAAGCAAGGAAAAAACAACAGCACAAAAGAATGAAGGAAGTGAATGTTTGGAGTATTTGAGTGTCACGCAAACAACAAGGAAACAACGGGGCTGACGTCCAAAAGATTGACAGAGAAAAAATAAGCAAAAAAAAACCGCATATAAAATGAAACCAGACAACAGAGCAACGTTGCAGAAACCGACAAGCGAACGTCGTACATCTGTTAGAGAATCATTGTTGCTTATTTGTACTATCACACGCGCTATACATGAATGCTCTCAATGTGAACGGAAAGCAAAAAAAGAAAAAAAAAATTTCCGTGAGGAGGAGTCGTGTTGTGCAAAAGAAAAAAAAACTGTCTTTTTTTTTTACCCTTGTTCGGTCAATCTTCATCCTCCTCATCTTCCTCTTCTTCTGCTTCTTCGGCCTTTGCACGCCTCCGCGCCTCGCGGCGTCGCTCCCTCTCGAGCCGCCTCTTTTCACGTTTCTTTTCGGCGTCGTACTCCCGCAGCAATGCGTTTCTCCGCACCACCGCGTTTTGAAGAACTGCCTTCCATTTTCTAACGGAACTTCCCGTCGCAGTAACTCGCGGAGCGTCTGAAACGTCGTCTGAAGTCCGTACACACTTTCCCTGCACAAAAAACAGCATACATGGAGTGCTGCAAATTTCAAGAAAAGTTAACAGCTCCAGCAAATTATCATACGCCTGTTTCTGAAGTTGCCTCTTTTGCAGCTCCGTGGGTGGTCGGTTGGTCGCGAGGAACACGGGATCTTTTTGCAGCAGGCTGGTTATGTCGGTCTTTTCTTCAGGCACTAACGCCACATGAAAGTAGCGCACACGGCGGGTCTGTGGAGCTTCGGAGAGGACAAATTTTTCCTTCACAATGGGTAAAATTTTGTCGCTAAAGGGGCACAAAAATGATGTCACGACAAGAGCACAGAGAGACTCCTCTTCGGGCATAACCAACGTCTGAAAGTCCTCCATGCAGCGGACGGGCACAAACCGCTTGCTCACCTCGTCCAGGGAAGACTGTTCACTATCACGCTCATCGTCCGACATGCCGACCGACTCCCAACTTGTGGGGGCACCGCGTTCTCGTCGCTCTATACAGGAGCCTTACCTTTCCCTTTCTCCTTCCCACCCAATGCCTCTAGCAGAGAGAGAGAGAAAAAAAAAAGGAGAGAGATCAGAGCGGTATCCCCCACCTTTTTGGTGGGGCACTTCACCACACACGCTTCACCCCATTCTGTTGAGGACCGCCTTCTTCTCGTTTACAAGGCACCCGACGTAAGTTACACGCTTGTTGTTGTTGTTGTTTTTTTTTGTATTTTTCTTTTACTTTTTTTACTGTTCTTCATTTTTCCTCCGCTTGCCGCCTATCTTTAATGAAGCTCAATGCGCGTGCGAGGAGCAACAGGTGCAGCTGTGTGGTTGAGCAGGGGGCACAAATTTGCCAACTGCGGAATTTCCCTTCCCAAGCACCAACTACCGTTTTTTTTCTTTTTCTTTTTCGTTTCTGCCTTTTTTGGTACCTCTTGCCTAAAACCGTGGGCGGCGTCTGCGCATGGTGTATTTGGAGTCTTCTGTTGTTGGAAGACCAAACTTGCGCCGTTCAGCTTTTTTGAGCAGCACCCAGTCCTTTGAGCCTGTGACAGGTCGATTGTCCTTCCGGCGCCGCTTGCCAGCCGGGCCGCTGTTGTGAGAGCGGGAGTGCTTCGCACGCACGCGACCACCCACACGAGCCTTTGTGTATTGTTCATCACCGTTGTCGTCGCCGAATTCAGCCTCACTCTCCATTTCTCCTGCCTCCTCTCCTTCGTCTTCCTCTTCTTCCTCGCCGTCGGTGGCGCACGCGGCAATTGGTAAACGAGGCACAAACCCACCCGCAACCTGACCGGCCTGTATCACCAAATAATGCTTTTTCGCCTTGGCACTGTGCGGAAAATCGACCACGACGCCACCCGTGAAGCCACATAGCATGGCGGCACGCGTGATCATGTGAACCTGCTCGACGTTGCTTGGGTAAAACTGCAGGGCAGCCTTGGCGCCGCGGTGGAGTGCATTATAAAGAGATTGAAATAAAGCACGCAGACGTCGCTGTGGCACGTGCCCGCGGCAGTCACTTTGACAGAGCCACTGTACTGCTGATATAGACACCGCCCCGTCAAAGGACCCGGGACGGAACGGCAAACCCTGACCCATGTCTCCACGCAGAACTTCAACCATAGAAGGACCCATTAGCGCATCCGCGGTTTCCCCCTCATTACTCTCCTCATCGTTGTCGTCGTCCGACTCCGTAATAAGGCCCCACTTCACATTCTTGAGATCATTGCTAGAAATCTTTCCGCCAGGTCCTGTTGTCCCGTTTTGCTCACCACTATGCGTTTCCTCTTCGCGCCCCATCCCAGACTCTTCCTTCTGTTGCGACTCCTTGGCGAGCATCAACATGTCGTTGCTGATATCGACCCCGACCCACGTGTGTCCCGTCGCGCGAAGCACATCTCCACTGATGCCGCTTCCGCATCCAATGTCTAACAATAGAGCCTGTCGACCAGGCGGAATGCCAAGGAGTTCTAGCGCACGCACCGTCATGGCCCTTTGTACCAACTGAACACGTGTGCTACTGGTGTAACGGCTGGCACCTGTTTTATTGTAGAGAACATCGGGGGGGTTCTCAAACTCTGGGCGCGGTGGAGGCATGGGAATGCAAACTAGCCAAAAACGAAATGAAACAAAACTAGAGCGCCTGCATTGAAGATCGCAACATAGCAAGAATAACAAAAAGAAAAAAAAGTGGGAAAATGAAGAGTAGAACTTTCATCGCTCTGCATTTCAAACCTCTGTCTTACGTAGAACAAAAATGAGGTCTACTGACTTGAGACTTGCACAAAGCCCAAGCTAGTCTCTCTATTAATTCGGTTCTACAATTTTTTTTTACCTTCCCTTTCCTAGACAAATGCCCACAACAGCCTTCGCCCCGCCGGTTCGACCAAAACAGAGCAAAGGAAGGAGGAGCAGAGAGCCCCCACCTCCCACGTCAGCTATTGCGGCACACCCCTTTCACAACGCCGTCACAAAATGAGAATTCAGTAAAGCAGAAGCATAGACATAACCAACTTCTTTTTACTTTCCTTTTTTTTTT